CGGGTCAGGGTCTTCTTCAGAGCTACTGCTCGTGATTTCCAACAGGAGAGCTTGGGCTCCCCAGCAACATGGCAGCCAGGTCCTCAGGCACCTTAAGATCCAGATCTGGTTGTACCCTATTTACTAGAGTCCTTGCTGGACCCATCCCAATTCCGTAGGAGGTGAGGGGGCCCTGGCAGGGATGGAGGAACAGAGTCAGGGCCCATCTGTCCATGTCTGAATTCTCTGATCAACAGAATGTCCATTGTGCCTGTCTGAAGACACACTGAGGTGTCCCTCAAATGCGTCCCAGAGAATTCTTCATGAGGGCCCCAGGGCTGGGTCCAGTCACGCTGTTGGTCATCAGGAGAGCACCCAGCTCTGAACCCTGCCGCCCATTAGTCAGGGATAAAAACTGAGCCAGTGGAGGCGGCACTGGGGAATGGTACTTGATTGCAGTCAGGACTTAGCATCGAAAAGTCACGTCAGTCTGAGTGGCTGAGGTTCCTGGGAAGCCAGGTGTCATTTGGGGGCTCTAAAGTTTTTTTTCTAATTGGTTATGCATGCCAGCAGACTGCATTTTTGACAGTGTACACAATTGGGCCACAACTTCTCATTCCTCTGGCTGTATGGGGACGCATTTTCTGCATCTAAAAGGAAGACATGGGGCTTGAAACGCTCTAAGGTCTTTTTTTTTTTTTTAACTTCCAGTACAAAGGGTCTTTTTTTTTTTTTTTAAACTTCCAGTACATTTATTATAAATCTGCTTTTTAAAAATTCAGTAGTATTTCATATAAATGAAAGAATCAAAATTTTCAAGAATCCTGAGGCAAATTGTTTTAAAAAGATTTTTTTTTGTACCAGGGATTGAACTCAGGGGCACTCAACCACTGAGCCACATCCCCAGTCTTATTTTGTATTCTGTTTAGAGACAGTGCCTCACTGAGTTGCTGAGGCTGGTTTTGAACTTGAGATTCTCCTGTCTCAGCTTCCTGAGCCTCTAGGATTAAAGGTGTGTGCCACTGCGCCCGGCAAAAAAGAAAATATTCTCGGGACTGGGGTGTAGCTCAGTGGCAGATCACTTGCCTAGCATGTGTAAGACACTGGGTTCGATCCTTAGTACCACATAAAAACAAATAAAATAAAGACATTTTAAAAAAATATTCTTTCAACAAATGAGCCACGATTTGAGTTTAATTTTTTTAAATCGTTCCTCCATTTTTAAAAATTTGGTCTTTTTAGAGCTACATGACAATAGAGTGTATTTTGACACATTATACATACATGGAGTATAACTTTAGAAGTACTTTTGACTAGCACCCACATTTATCACCAGTCAAGCAGGAGAGGAATGTGGGGGTCCCTGCACCTGTCCTTGAGTGAAAGACCTGCATTCCAGGGTGGCTGGTGGGTGCAGCCTTCTGATGGAGCAGTCTCGTCACTGTCACTTAGAAGGGCAGCAGGCCTGGTAGTGTGGGGAGTGACTGGCTGTTGATCTTATTCCTGTGGCTTTGGTTTGAGGTGACCCTTCATGCATGCACCCAGGACAGGGCTACATATGCTCTTGGTCCTGTGCGTGACCCATCATCTTTGCCGCTCTGCCCTTTCCCCTGCCTCTCTAAGCTTGGCTGTCCTGGTGTCCTCCTGTGAATGGCCTGTGGATCCGGAGATGGGTTGCTGCCTAGTCCGCTCAGCCCCTCTGGGAGAAGGACCAGGTCAGCAGCATCTCACCTTCCCTGGTGTGGCCTGGGGGAGGGAGCTGTTCAGTTGTAGAGATCACTGGGCTGCTTCTGCAGGTGACATCATTTGGATATGGCTGCTATCACACCATGGGCTCCTCACAGATGTGCTGGGCATCTATTTGAGCTGCTACTCACATGAGCCTGCTGTGTCTTCTCTCCCTGTTTGACTTCTCTCCTCTCCTGCCATCCCTTCCCTCCTCTTGCTTCTTTCTCCTCCCTTTTATCCATTCCTCTTTCTCTTCTCTGTCTTTGACTCCTTGTAGGTGTCTCTGTTGGAACAGCCTTGGAAGAATCAGAGGCCTTGCTTTTCTCCTCCTGACACCCGCATTTGGGGAGAATCCCACCTCTGGTGTGCGTGCTGCTGTGAAGGGCGGGCTGGCGTCAGTGCGCAGTGGTGTGTGGGTCACACAGTTATTTTAGTGTATGTGCACCAGGAGGGAGGGAGGGAGTTAGAGGGACAGGCCACCAGCCACCCTATCCTGGGAGCCTCTACTGGTCTTCTAAAAACAAGGGCACACACCTAGCTCCCCCGCTGGTGTTTCAAGCTCAGGAAGGCAGTTTGGCTGGGCTTTGACACCTTTTCCCCAGGAGCTCCATGTGAGACCACAAAAGCTCATTGCAGCATTGGGTCCCAGACAAGCCAGCAGGCCTTTGCTCCTGTGGCCAGCAGTCTCTCTGTATATCTTCCTGGCAAGGCAGGCCAGTTTCCTGCTGGAGGGTCCTTCTTTCCTCAGGCCCCAGCCAGTGGGACCTTGGAACCCCTGTGTCCTATAGGGGTTTTGCTGCTGCTCTGCAAGAGTTTTGAGCCCGGGAGACACCGCCTCCCAGCCCAGTTCTCAGGTCAACTCCTAAAGCCAGGCCTCCTGCATGGAAAGCTGGGTGTGGGCCTCATGTGCAAGTTGTGAAGCTGATTGAGGATTCTGCCCTATGTGGACCCTCGTTTCCCTCTTTCTGCACTTGACAGGTGGTTTACTTGGGGCTCCTGGAGGAGGGAGAGGGTGACTGGGATCTGAGACCAGGACTTGCTCACACACCTGCACATTCCTGTGTGTTAACATGCCTGTTCCACTCTCAGGTCAGCATGGCCCGGGCCTGTCCTTGCCTCCTGCCTTTGGTTCCATGTGCCTCTTGCCTGTTGTGTACCCACAATAGGTCCTGGTCTCAGAACTCCAGCAAGAGCACTTAGCCTAGAAACTGGATATCAGTTCTTTACCATGTCTGAAGCTCAGGGCCAGTGCAGCTGCGGTTCTCCCCTGCATTCCTTCAGGTCACCAGCGGGAGCTGGCTCTTCCCAGGGATTGAGGAAGAGGTGCCTTTACGAGATGTCCTAAGCCTGCAGAATGTTTGCCCTCACTGGCCTGTGCAGCCACGGCTAGTTTGCTTTGGGGAGGTCTCAGCAAGCATGGAGGCTGGCTGCCACCTTTTGCCTTCAGGCAGCCTCTGACTCTCCCCTGAAGATGCTTCAGCTCCAGCCCAGGCGTTGGTGGGAGAACTGGTAGGGTCAGGGCAGGGTCCCTGCCTGTGTGAGGGGACAGAGTGGGTTGTCCAGGTCTTTGCAACTCACCACTCAGGCTGTGATGCTGTGCTGTGGGCCCCTCCCAACTGCCATGTTTTTGCCTCATTTGTTGGGTGACGCCCTGAGCTCAGGAGACATATTCTTCTGTTTGGTTCTTTTGCACCCAGGGCCTCACACGTGCTTGGCAAATGCTCTACCACTGAGCTGCTGCATTGCAGCCTTTGTGTTTGTTTTTTTTTGACTGGAAATTGAACCTGGGGTGTTTTAGCACTGAGCCCCCTCCCCAGCCCTTTCTGGTTTTTTGAGACAGGGTCTCATTAAGTTGTTGAGGCTGCCTTCAAACTTGTGATCCTCCTGCCTCAGTCTCCCAAGTCACTGGGATTACAGGTGTGCACTGCCACAGCTGGCACATACCCCTACTTATGAGGTTTCCAGACACCATGGAGTGAGTGGCCTTGCAGCACTGACTTGTGGCTTTCGGAGCAGCTCATCCCAGCAGCCAGCCACACATGGTCCCCGCAGCTCCAGGCTGCAGCACAGTGACTCTCCCGTGAGGCTGGTGTAATGGGAACAGCCAGAGCTGCCGCACCCCCGCAGAGAGCCCTGAGGTTCCTCACCTGCCCAGGAGCAGCTCTGACAGACGTGTCCTCTGCTGGGTTTCAGACCCGGTTTTGGAGCAGCTGGTAAACAACCATCAGCACTGTTGAGATCCTGGGCTGGCACCACAGCCTCCCTGCTCATCCATAGAGTGTGGGTGCAGTGGGTGCTGGGTTTTATTTTGAAACTTTCCAAAATTGTTCCTTTCTAGAAAGGAAGCCCTGCTTGTTTTTCCTAGTAAATTGCCGGTCTTGAGGTGGACCCTGCAGCAGTGCTGGGTGGCAGGCGAGCTAGTTTAGATACTTATTTAGTCATGGTTTGTGCAGCTCATGATAATTGGGCTCCAGGCCAGGGAATTTTTCTGAGCACATTTCTTGAGATGGTTGTGAGATTTCCAGGCATTAAGTGAGGCCCTTGACAGAGGAACTAGCCAGGCCAGCAGCTCTTAGGATCACGATTGGAGTTCCAGTTTCTCCTGGGAAAGTCAGCAGGTCAGAGGTTTCTGGTGGCAGGTGACTCCTCAGCCTTATGTAGTTCCCAGAGTTTGTGAATCAGAAAGGTTGAGCAAGCCCTGCTTAGAGGGCCCAGCTCTGCAGGGCAAGGGAGCTTGCCCCGAGCCCGTGGGTGCGGTCGGAGAGGGACTGAGCTCTGTACCTAGTCAGTGTAGAACTAAAAGGATAAGTGATACAAGGGCCACCTTGTTGTTTTCCCAAGACATTTCACTTGTCTGTGACAAAACACAAAGTAGAAGGGTCTTAAGGCTAAATGGGCCCCGTTGGACATCCGTCTTTTTCTGAGATTTTGTGGTAATATTCTTTTCGTAGAAAATGTTAACCTGACCAATGTCCTTTCTTCGTTAAAATCACAACAGCAGGGTTTTGTTGTTTGCTTTTGTGACTCTTTAACATCATCATCTGGTAAGACACAAGGATAGTGTTTGGTGTTGGACCCTGGGTGCTTTCTGGTTTGGAACATCCCTGTTTGGTGGACCTGGAGTAGGGAGCCTGTGCCCATCTCGACTCAGCAGAGAGCCAGCCCCATCTCGGGAGAAGCGCCTCGCCCTGGTTTCATTCTCTATCTCCTCCCCGAGTCTCATCGGGCAGCTTGGTGGGGTGAGGGTGCTGGTGCCTCTCTCGGTGCTAACAGAGGCCCTTGGCATCCTGCAGCCATGGACTTCCCCCAGCACAGCCAGCACGTCCTGGAGCAGCTGAACCAGCAGCGGCAGCTGGGGCTTCTGTGTGACTGCACCTTTGTAGTGGACGGTGTTGACTTCAAGGCCCACAAGGCGGTGCTGGCAGCCTGCAGCGAGTACTTCAAGATGCTCTTTGTGGACCAGAAGGACGTGGTGCACCTGGACATCAGTAACGCGGCAGGTACCCCACAGGGTCAGGGCGACTTGTCGAGGACTCCTTTTGTGCTAGGAGTGGGGTGATAGTGGTGCCAGGGAGGCCAGGACACGGGCTGGAAGTAGGAGGGAACGGGTCCTGGTCTGGGCTCCCAGCCTGGCATAACAGAGTGAGGGGTATGGGGCGAGGTGTTACCCTCCCGTTTTATGGAGGTAGCAACTGAGACCTGCAGAGATCAGGAGCCTGGCCTGGAGGTTAGGTGGCGGTGGTGGCAGAACCCCAAGGAAGCTGATGCTGACACAGGTGGACCGGACAGTCCTCCAGCGGTGAAGTGCAGTGCCTGGGCCTAGAGCATGCAGGGTGGCCTTCCCACCCTTTGTCCCCTCTGGGAGGCTGTCTGCTGGGCTGACCCCAGCTGCCCACCCTCCAGCTCAGGAGAAGGCGATGGCCTGCCACTCAGCTTTTCAGAACTCCTTGGCCTTGCCATACTGAGTGGAGGGCTGGACGGGCTGCTGGTGTCCGCCTTGAGGTGGGTCTGTGACCGTGGCTTTCCTATCTTTGGCAGGCTTGGGGCAGGTGCTGGAATTCATGTACACAGCTAAGCTGAGCCTGAGCCCCGAGAACGTGGACGATGTGTTGGCCGTGGCCAACTTCCTCCAGATGCAGGATGTCATCACAGCATGCCATGCCCTCAAGTCACTCGCCGAGCCGGCCACCAGCGCTGGGGAACATACAGAGGCCTTGACCGCGGAAGGTCAGAGTACAGGCAGCTTGTTATGAACAGACAGCCTGAGACTCTGGCTCTCAGTAAAGCCTGCCTCCAACTCAGGGTCACCTCCCTGGGTCTCAGTTTCCTCATCTGCCCTTCCTCCACTGTGGGGAGCTGGTGAGCGTTGGCTGCAGTTTTGTCTGAGAAGGGCCCTCTGCTGCCCTGTCCAGTTTGTTGCCAGCAGGGGACAGGGAGCCACCTAGGTGGCTGCCCGTGCACGTGGGTGGGGCTTGCTCCCACGCCACCTCACACGCCTCCTGCAGCCGCCACCTCCCACTTTATACTCTCCCCTGACGTCCTCAGAAGCCCTTGGCTGTCTGTTGTGGGCCAAATGCTCTACACTTTCAGGGGACCTTGTTCCTCTCCCGTGGTCAACATCCTACTTACACATGGGGGCTGTCAGTCGGTGCACCCCCATAGGCAGAAACTGCTGCTGCTGTTTTCCCAGTGCCCGCGGGCGGCCAGGCACAGCACTGGCGCCTGGGGAATGATGTGTCCAATGACCACACTGACTGAACAAACCATTGTTTAGATGTGTCCCCAGGGAGGACCCAGAAGAGCTTGGCAAGTTCTGGGATACCTGACCACGCCCCCCAGGTGGGCACTTGGTGGGAAATGGCAGATCTGTCCTGTTCTATCTCCAGGAGGGGACAAGAGAGCCAGAGAGGAGAAGGCTGCTGCCGCCACGCTGAGCAGGCTGGACCAAGCAGGGAGCAGCCCACCTGCAGGCCCAGGGCGAGAGCTCAAAGAGGAGCGGGGCGGCCAGGCTGGGAGTGCCACCAGCGGTGAGTTGTGATCTGGGGACCAGGTGGCTGCCTGGTGGGAGATGGTGGGCAGTAGGAAGTCAGAAGGCTATCCCATCCCCTGCCAGCAGCCTGGACAGGGACAGGCTTCCGCACTTCTAGAGTCCACCTCCCCGACAGACCTGTGGCTTGTGCAGTCTGTCCGGCCAGGCAGAGTCACGAGCTGCTTGGGGCCTCTCCTGGGCCACAGCCACCCCCAGGGGCCTGGACAGGGGAGGCTTCAAGCCCTTAGACGGATTGTCTTAATCCAGCCTCTGGTGCTGTCCCCTCCCCCCAGGTGCAGAGCAGACGGAGCGGGCTGACGCGCCTCGAGAGCCCCTGCCCGTGGAGCTCAAGCCAGACCCCACGAGCGGCATGGCTGCTGCAGAGGCTGAGGCCGCCTTGTCAGAGAGCTCAGAGCAAGGTACCCTCCCCACTGCCTCCGCCCCGCCCCCCCGCAGCGCTGCCTCCAGCCTCGCTCTCCTTATTCGTGGTCCCATGTCCTGGCAGCTCCCATCAGCACAGAAGTGTTGGGGTGCAGCCTTGGAGCTCTGCTCCCACAGCTCTGGGCCCCACTTAGTGTGCTGCTGTCCTCCCACCAGTGCCGTTGGCTAACTGGGGCCCACATCTGCATCCCCCAAGTAGCAGATGGCAGGCCACGGACCCTAGGTGCTGAAGACGTTTCCTTGCCACTCCCAGATGCTCCCAGGGCCCCTGCTAGGTTCCTAGGCGGGACTGCGAGGCCGACCCGGGAGGCTCTTCTCCGTCTGCTTCAGCGCTGCCCTTCTCTGCAGAAATGGAGGTGGAGCCGGCCAGCAAAGGAGAAGAGGAGCGGGAAGAGGAGGGCACGGGGCCAGGGGTGGTGAAGGAGGAGGGGCCTCAGCTGGAGAATGGAGACGCCCCGGAGGAGAACGAGGAATCAGCAGGCACAGACTCGGGGCAGGAGCTCAGCTCAGAGGCCCGGAGCCTGCGTTCAGGCACCTATGGGGACCGCACTGAGTCCAAGGCCTATGGCTCCGTCATCCACAAGTGCGAGGTGCGGGCCGCGGGTGGTGCCAGCCCTCCGTCGCGCTCCCGCTGCAGCCCCTCACCACGCCTTCCCGCTGCGCCCGCAGGACTGTGGCAAGGAGTTCACGCACACGGGGAACTTCAAGCGGCACATCCGCATCCACACGGGGGAGAAGCCGTTCTCGTGCCGGGAGTGCAGCAAGGCCTTCTCGGACCCCGCTGCGTGCAAGGCGCACGAGAAGACGCACAGGTACCTGCGCCGCCTCCCCACTGTCCAGGCTGCGCTCGGGGCCCCGTGGGCGCGCCCCTCCCTGACTGCGCCTCCCACCACCCAGCCCCCTGAAGCCCTACGGCTGTGAGGAGTGCGGCAAGAGCTACCGGCTCATCAGCCTGCTGAACCTGCACAAGAAGCGGCACTCCGGCGAGGCGCGCTACCGCTGCGAGGACTGCGGCAAGCTCTTCACCACTTCCGGCAACCTCAAGCGACACCAGCTGGTGCACAGCGGGGAGAAGCCCTACCAGTGCGATTATTGTGGCCGCTCCTTCTCCGACCCCACGTCCAAGATGCGCCACCTGGAGACCCACGACACTGACAAGGAGCACAAGTGCCCTCACTGTGACAAGAAGTTCAACCAGGTGGGCTGCTGGAGCCCCCTGCTGATGGCGCGGAGCAGACAGGGCCAGAGGGAAGCTGCCAGGGTCTGCAGAGTGGCTGTCCCAGGAGGGTGCGCCCGCTGCTCTGTCCAGGCAGCCCGAGGCAGGTGGAGTCTGGCGGGGTTTAAGTCAGAGCCAGCCGGGTGGAGGGCGTGTCCTTTCACTGCTGGGACTTGGAACATTCCATCTGGCTTGAGAAGACAGGGAGCCACTCCAGCCTGCTGAGAGACCTGAGTTTTAGTGGTTCCCTATGGGAGGGGAAGGGGAGGGGATCAGAGGCCAAGTGCGTGGGGTGGCCCTTCTGACCCCCTCCCTGGGTACAGGTGGGGAACCTGAAGGCCCACCTGAAGATCCATATCGCGGACGGGCCTCTCAAGTGTCGGGAGTGTGGGAAGCAGTTCACCACCTCAGGTAGGCCCAGGGCTGCCCTGGCTGCCCTCACAGCCCTGCTCCTTGGCCCCCGGGCCCCATGCCAGGCCTGCCATGGGTCTCACCACAGGGAACCTCAAGCGGCACCTTCGGATCCACAGCGGGGAGAAGCCCTATGTGTGCGTCCACTGCCAGCGACAGTTCGCTGACCCCGGTGCTCTGCAACGGCATGTCCGCATCCACACCGGTGGGTGAGCAGCCCCTGTGCTGTGGGGGCCGGGGTGGCGCGCACAGGGAGAGGTGGGTGCTGATGCCTTCCCCTGCCTCTGTCCTCAGGCGAGAAGCCTTGTCAGTGCGTAATGTGCGGCAAGGCCTTCACCCAGGCCAGCTCCCTCATCGCCCACGTGCGCCAGCACACTGGGGAGAAGCCCTACGTCTGTGAGCGCTGCGGCAAGAGGTGCCCCTCTCCCCCATGCCAGGGCGCTGCCCACAGTGAGGGGGTTCTGTTGGGAACTGGGCAGAGTGCCACCCCAGCCCCAGGCTTTGCTCCCAAGGTCCTGTCTGATCCATATGTGGCCAGAGGCCTCTCAGTCTGGCTCCCCAGCTCCTGGCTTGAGCAGATCAATCTAAGCCCCTCCCCTTGGCCCTACAGATTTGTCCAGTCCAGCCAGTTGGCCAATCACATCCGGCACCACGACAATATCCGCCCACACAAGTGCAGTGTGTGCAGCAAGGCTTTTGTCAACGTGGGGGACCTGTCCAAGCACATCATCATCCATACTGGTGAGCATGTGCCCACCCACCTACACATCTCCCTGCTCAGCCCCGACTTGCAGGTGGGATAGGTGAGAAGGGGGGACCCCCGGATCCCAGCCTTGGTTGCCGGCTCTTGCTGCCGGTGGCCCTGGAGGCAGTTTAGTTGAAGTGTGGACCCCTTAGAGCTTCCAGTGGGCCAGTTGCTACTGGAGGAGGCTGTCAGCTTGGTGGCCACCCCAGAGCTTCCTGCTGGACAAGACAGGGCTGCAGGGGAAGCCGAAGCCTGGACCCCCCCCCCCCCCCCCGCTGCCCTCCACGACGGCAGGAGCGAACCTTGCCTTCCCCCAGGAGAGAAGCCTTACCTGTGTGACAAGTGTGGCCGCGGCTTCAACCGGGTGGACAACCTGCGCTCCCACGTCAAGACTGTGCACCAGGGCAAGGCTGGCATCAAAATCCTGGAGCCAGAGGAGGGTGGCGAGGTCAGCGTGGTCACTGTGGATGACATGGTCACGCTGGCCACTGAGGCACTGGCAGCAACGGCCGTCACTCAGCTCACAGGTGTGGGCCGTGGGCAGCAGAGGGTAGTCACCTGTAGCTTGCCTCGGGTGGCAGCAGCGGGCACGTCTCTGGCCTTTGCCTCAGGGCCTGCCCATTCTGTCCACAGTGGTACCAGTGGGGGCTGCGGTGACAGCTGATGAGACGGAGGTACTTAAAGCCGAGATCAGCAAGGCCGTGAAGCAAGTGCAGGAGGAAGGTGAGGGGGCCGCCCAGGGTGTGAGCCCCGGGGAACCAAGGGCCCTGCCCACCCTGACTGCCGCCCCCACCTCCACAGACCCCAACACCCACATCCTCTACGCCTGTGACTCCTGCGGGGACAAGTTCCTGGATGCCAACAGCCTGGCTCAGCATGTTCGGATCCACACCGCCCAGGCACTGGTCATGTTCCAGACTGACGCGGACTTCTACCAGCAGTACGGGCCGGGCAGCACGTGGCCAGCCGGGCAGGTGCTGCAGGCCGGGGAGCTGGTCTTCCGCCCTCGGGACGGGACTGAAGGCCAGCCTGCAATGGCAGAGACCCCACCCACAGCTTCTGAATGCCCACCGCCTGCTCAGTGAGCAGGCAGCCCTTCTCTTGACTGTTTATTTAAGGATGGATGGCACCCTGGAACTGGAAAGGGCGGCCCATTCCCTAGAGAGAATAAATTTGATTATTTTCTAATGCTGCCTGTAGGTCCCTGTTGGGGTGGGCCGGTGCTGGCAGCTGTGGCTGATGCCACAAGAAGGCTGTGCCACAAGAAGGCTGCACGATCCAGGGACCAGCTCTCTTCAAAGAGCCCTGCTGCTCCTCCTGTGGAGCATAGCCAGGATCCGTCCATGCCCAAGCCAACTGCCTTGTCCACAGTGGGTGGAGCAGCACACAGGGCCGTGACCCCAGCAAGCACCACTATGGCCTTGCTCCCCTCGCCCAGGGGTTCAGCTGGGGAAGGGGCCAGTGGGAAGGACCACAACTGCTCACAGAGACCCAGGCGACCAAGAGCCCAGTCTATGGTCTCAATGGCTTTGCCTCCTGTGACCACGTCTGTTGGGCCTGCCCTTGGGTTCTCTCAGCCAGGCAGACGGAAGAGCCCTTCCTCCCAGGACCACGGCCCCTGCCTCCAGACCCCAATACCCACATCCTCCGCGCCTGGTTTTCCCCTGTGTCAAAGTCTGAAGTGCCTTCCGCATTACCTGGGAACCATTTGGGGCCTTGACGTTTCAGTGGTGTCTGCACCACAACCTTGGAAAATTTGTTCAAGTTCAGTGTCCATGACAGGCAGCAAGGGGCAGAAGAACATGCTGGGCTCTGTGCTTGCTTCACAGTATTCGTGCCAGAGCTGGGAGGCCAGTGTCATCCTGTGGGAACAGTTTACCTGCCTGAATCAGGGAAGCCTCCACCTGGAGGGACAAAGGAGCAGGGGAGCAATGCTAGCAGGGCTGCCCATCCTTCCTGGTGACAGGGAGGCCCCTCTCCTGGGGTCACCCACAGCCACAACCAACCCTCCTGTCTTGCACAAGCCCACAGGCCTGTTTGTAGTCCTGTTGTGACAGTGAGAAGACACCCAAGTCTGTAGTCCCCATATCCCTGTTCTTACCTTCTGATCCAACCCCACGGTGGTGGGGGGGGCAACGGCCAGGTGGCCCGCCATTCCCCCCCCCAAGCAGGCACAAGGTTAAGGGAGTCCCAGAGAGCAGCACTAGAGCAGCACTAGGTCAGCTCGGCCCCATCCCACCAAACAGAAGGGACGAGGCGAAGCGGATGGAGTTAGTCTGTAAGGGTCGTTTCACTCGTGTCAGCAGCTAAAGCGTCTCCGGCACTGCCCAGGAGTGACTCGGAACCCTGAAGCTTCACAAATTTCACAGCACTGGAAAATGTTGACAGCCCAGCACTGGTGACAAAAATCACTCTTGTACCAGATAAAATGCTCGCTGGGGAGCATTAAGTGGTAAAAGAAAGGAAAGAGGCCCTGCAGACTTGGGGGTGGGCAAAAACAAAGCCAGGGCAAGGGCAAGCTGTTCCCATAGCCAAGGACCCTTGGTTCTCCCACCCCAGTGACAATCACATCCACACTTGAGGTGTTTTGTATTTTTTAATAAAGTTTGTAATCCAATGGACACACAAAACAAAACTGCGCTGAGAAAAACAGTTTCATAAATTAATAAGTGTTAGGAAGTTGGGGAGAGGCCCGGGTCACAGGAGGAGGGGACTGGCCAGTCTTTGTACAGGTGCTGTGTGACACTTCCACGTTGCAGGAGCGGGGCCCGTGCTGTACTGAAGCGCACTTATACAAATGAGTGACGATACAAAGTCTGAGTATGAAAATAAGATTTTCTCTGAAAACACATTTTTGGCACAGATTAAAAAAAATGTATGTCGGGGAATTTTGATTTTTTAAAGTCAGTATTATATATATTTATATATATTATATATTTATATATACACACATCCGAGTTCTGCATATCCCACCAAGGAAGAAAATCCTTCTGTTTGCTCTTGTTCGACTGTGAACCGTACACCCCGGTGAGTCAAAGGTGGTGGCAGCAGGAGAATTAAGAAAGGCGACACGTCCGATGAGCTGGGGAAGGGAGGTGGTGGGGCAAAAAAACCCAGTGAAATGTTCCTTGACCCCAAGGTTTCAGCAGAAGTTCTGAGTCCTGCAGGAGAGTCCGCGATGTGTGTTCACACACCACACGTCCACAGCCTGTCTCACTGTGCAGAAGTCCAAGTCACTAATTTAGTGCAAAGGCAGTTCTGTTTTCTTGTTTCTTAAAAACAAAACAAAACAAAAAGGAATTCTACTGCCCTGTTCCTTTTCTCTGAAAAAAAAAAAAAAGGAGAGAAACAGCCCCAAGGTGTCTGCAAGTCTGTCGGTCGGTGGTCTGTCCTGGACAAAAGCGTCCTGTAAACATACAAGGTAGCAGCACCACCGCCCAGAGGTCTGTCCCACGGAGCTGGGCAGGCGCCCGGGCACGGGAGGATGGCGTCTGTCCCTCTGCAGCTTCTCCTCCGCCTGGTTGAGTTGTCTGGTGTTCATTTTTTGCAGCAGAGCCTTGGGAAAATGCCCTGAGGTGATGACCATTCCATGGCTCACACAGAGGCAATGACAATCATGAGGTGGGGAGAGATGTTGGAGATGCTGGCAAGGAGGTCAGGGGCCAGGCGGGACAGGTGGCTCTCGGAGAACTCGCAGGGTGGGAAGATCTGTAGCACATAGGCGGGCTGGAGAAGGGGCGAGAGAGAAAGTGGGACCTTCTGCCTTCATGTCGCCCTCCCCACTACGCTCCCAGCAGGCCCTGGAGAGGCCAGATGCAGAGGCAGCCTAGGTCAGCTTCCCAGCCACAGCCAGATGAAAGCAGCACCAGGAAGCTCTTGCCCCCCGCCTCTGGTCTCTCTGCCCAGCTCGAGGAAATCCTCTCATCTGCTCCCCTGGCTCTTCTCTTGAGGACAGCAACACACTGCTTGTCGCCTCTACCCAAAAATGCCTTACTGCCCAGCAGCGCCCTCTAGCTGGCACTGGTGATCCACGCCAGCACACTGGCCAGCCCCCCTGTTCTAGACTGGCCCCACTGGCACACACTCGTGGGGCGGGCAGGAGCATAGACTGACCTGATTGGAGCCAGGATTGGGGACGTTGATGATCCCAGCTGCCTGCTTGGCCTGTAGGTAAGTGATGAAAGCAGCCTTAAGGGACTCGGTCTGGCTCACCACATCCTCTTGGTCACGACCACAGGGCAGAGCCAGCAGCAGACAGTAATCAGTCTCCACCTGGGGCAGAGAGGCCAGTGGTCAGGGGCCTTAGTCAAGTGTAGCCTTGTCCAACCCACGGTGTTAGGCCCACAGGAATCCCTGCCTTCGAGACGGCCTGAAGTTCACCCTGGTATTTGTTCAAAGAAAGAAAGCCCTGCTGCTCTGTTCTGGGTCGAGGTGTTTTACTCCAGGGCCATCAGTGCTTTCCTGCCTGGGGCAGGGGCAGGGGCAGGGGCTCTCCAGTCTTACCGTCATTCTTCGGGCAACCCCCTCCAGCTGCGAGGCTTCTAGCCGCATTCTCTGGGCGATCCTCAGAGGGGGGCCTCCTTCAGAGAGGGGGAGGGACCGGTGGGCCAGGACGTTGTTGCCAGAGACGAAGTGGAGCTGCACGGCAGCCGTGTCGTTCTTGAGGGCCAGCAGGCCTTGCCACACGATGGGATACTTCTGCTCACAGGGGACAGAGCAGAAGCGCACTCAGGGCCAAAGGCCAGCCATGCCGGCCACAGCCCTAGCTGATCTGTCATGGGGAACCTCAGGACATTAGCACAGCACAGAGTCTGGGAAAGAGAGGGCAGGGCCCCGTGCTTACCTTCAGAAGCTGGACCATATCCACAGGCCTCTGGGAAGTCAAGTGTGGAGAGGAATCTTGCTTGGATGCTGGCTGGGCTTCAGTGTGCGGCAGAGGAAGCCCTGGTGGGGTGCTGGGGCCCGAGGTTGTAGGAACAAACAACGGCTGCTTTGGGGCAGCCTGAGAGGGAAGAGGGGCTGGGAGATCAGGCTTCATGGAGACAGACACAGGGGACGGGTAGGACGTCTGGCTGGCTTCCACCTGTGCCCTCTGAACCTGGGCATGGGGCTCAGGTGGCCTGCTGGCAGGGACAGTTTGGAGGCGAGGCTGCTCAAGTCCTCCTGTCTGGGTCCCCTTTGCCTCTTGGGAGACCTGAGGCATCTTGCTAGTTGGTGGCTGGCCAGGCTGGCTGAGCGGGGAGGGCTGGCATGGTGGCACAGGAGGGGCAGGCTGCGAGGGCTGCACTGGCTGGGCAGGCTGCGTAGACTGTGCAGGCTGCGTGGACTGCAAGGCCTCACCTTCAGGAGGGCCCTAGAGTTGGAAGGAAGGCAGGGGACACAATCAGAGTCTGCTACACACATGTCACTGAACCCAACAAAAGATCCAAGGGACAACAGGAAAAAGTCCAGTTGTGGGGCAACTCCATCCAGTTCAGGGCACACAGCAGCGTTAACCAGCCACAGCTCTTGGGGACCCTGGTAAGGTGAAGTCACCGTGACCTCCCTCCCCACCAACCATTCCCACAGAACTCTTTCCCCACATCTAGAGCTTTCCAATGTGATCTGACTTTGTCACCCCCAGGCTTAGGAAGTCCCCTTTCAGCCCAAGCTTGCCTGTACCTTGACAGTGGCTTGGCCCAAAGGCTGAATTCCTAACCCACCTGCACTTCAAAGCCACAGAGTTCCCCAAGTGCATGGCCAAGAGATGAGGAGGCACCCAGCACCCTCACCTGGGCGGGAGTCTTGGTCCGGGTCGGGAGCCCAATTGAGGAAGCAGCAGGAAACTGAGTGTGTGTGAGCTGGGCTGGTGCGTGGTAGGTCCGGATGTCCCCGTATCTGTACTCCTGGAACAACTCTCCACTGGAGTGCACAATCTGCACCCCGTGGGTCACCACCACGGGTGGGGTCAGAGGCAGCCCTTGGAGTTGGTTGCTGGGGGTGACTGTGAGGATGCGGGCCTCGCTGTGAGGGGCAGGGGCGGGGGCAGGTGTGGTCTTGGCATCTGGGGTCTTGGCAGTCTCTTTCCCCGGTTGCTGAGGGGCCTTGCTGGCTGGTGGCACCTTCACGACCCCCTCTGCAGGTCTGGGTTGCTCGCTGACGGCTGTCACGTGTGGGTGCACCATGATCCTCACGTCGCGGGGCACCGT